CTTGGACAACTGGATAGCCAAATACAAAAGAATGAAGTTGGACCCACTATTCATACCATATACAAAAATTAACTCAGACTGGTCATAGACCTTAATATAAGAACTAAAGCTATAAAACTCTTAGAAGAAAATCTTCATGACCTTGACTTAGGTAAGGCCTTAGATATAACCTCATATACATAATCAACAAAAGAAAAAGTAAATAAATTGGACTTCAATAAAATTATAATTTTTATACCTCAAATGATACCACCAAGAAAGTGAAAAAAAAAACAGCATGAAAGAAAAGTTTTGCAAATGATACATTGCATAAAGGACTTATGTCCATAACACATGAATACTTCTTATAACAGTAAGACACAACCTAATTAAAAATGTGCAAAAGATTTCAAGAGATTTATTCAAAAATGATATAGAAATTTTCAATAAGTATATGAAAAGATGCTTAATACCATTAGTCATTAGAGAAATGCAAATCAAAACCACAATGACAAATCACTTCATACTTCCTAAGATCACTATAATCAAAAAGACAGACAGTAAGTATTGGTGAGGATGTAGAGAAATGGAACCCTCAGAAACTGCTGGTGGGAATGTAAAATGATGTAGCCACTTTGGAAAACAATATGCCATTTCCTCAAAAGGTTAAACCTAGAGTTACCATATAACCCAGAAATTCCAGTCTTATACTTAAAACAAAGAGAAATGAAAACCTATGTCCAGGAATGTTACTCATAATAGCCAAAAAGTGGGAACAACTCAAAAATGTTCACCAACTAATGAATGGATCAATAAAATGTCTCCATAGACTTGAATATTATTTGGCAAAAAAAAAAACAAAACAGGAATGGAGCACTGATATATACTACAACATGGATGAACCTTAAAAACATTATGCTAAATAAAAGTAGCCAGATGCAAAAGACCACATATTGTATGATTCTGTTATATGAAATGTCCACAATAGACAAATCTATACAGATAGTAAGTTCATTGCCTAAGGCTTGGGACAGGGAGTTGGTTGCAAAATGGAGGAAAATGGGAATGGCTGCGAAACGGTACATGGTTTCTTGTTGAGGTGAAGAAAATATTCTGAAAATGATTGTACAACTCTGTGAATATACTAAAAACCACTGAACTATACAGTGCAAATGGGTAAGTTACATGAATTATATTTCAATAAAGCTGTTATAAAATAGAAGTACTCCTTTGTTAAAACACTCTATAATACCAAACACTGAGATATTGAAATGTTTAGTTATAAGCACAAACTAACCTAGTAATCAAGCTCACCAACAGCCTCTATTTAATAGTATTTGGTAGTGTAGTTTAAAACTGTGTGTATTACTTTAGTATGTATTCATATTTTTCAGTAATTCATATGGCCTTCTTCCTCCAATAAAGCCTAGTGAATGGTGTATTAATAAATTAAACTCTCCCCTTACAGGATGCAAACTGATATTTTAACAATTTGAGCATATTTTCACTACAATATTTAACAAAGACTTAGACTTCTTACCTGTGTTGAAACAAGCTTAACATAATTTAACTTAATACTTACCAGAAAATGATTCTAATCTGAAAAGTTCTCAATCTGTTTTTCATATCAAAAAAGTTTAATGAAAGTAAAAGCATATATCTTTTGTAACCAATTTGTATGAATTTTAAAGCTATTTTAAGGTAAAATGTTAAAAATAGGACAAATCCTAAGTTTAAAACATTATATAGCACTATTTTCTTTTTGTAATATATTTGAGAAATTTCTAAAGTGAACACTGGTAGAAATGAAATAATCACTTAAAAATAAATTTATAATACAAAATAAATTTTCATTTGGGCCAGACGTGGCCCTCAAACAATATCTTACCAGCTCTCAAAAATACTAAGAACACCACTGAACAGTAAGCAAATGTTCATTAGAGAACTCATTTGTAATAAATACATTCATGCAGAGTACAACTATGTAGGGGAAAAGAGATGTTTAATTCTGATTTATGTAAGTACGCTATTATATCAAAATATATTCTTAAGGGGTTTTTGCTCTTTATTCACCACACCTAGTGAAGTCATGGTTCAAACTTACAAAAAATCCTGACATAGAAGGAACCGTAGTAGAGAAGGGAGTGGAGTAACAAAATTAACAGAGGTCGGGGTTAAAGCTGAAATTAAAAGTATTCTGAATAGAGGGTAAAGTAGAATTACTGCAGATGACAGCATTGAATGTAAAATAGGTAGTGAAGAGATAAAAAATGGGACACCAGTGAAAGAAGCCACAAAAAGAAAAGGAACTGAAGCATGTGAATAAGTTACAAATTCATGTGTTGGAAAGCAGCACACTAATTTGGAGAAGAAAGAACACAAGATGCTGCTGGAAGAATTAACTTAAGAGACAGCTGTAACAGCTTTCCTACAGTACTTGGAGGAGTTTCAAGTAATGTTTTTTCCTTTATCACTGTCTTCATCATTTTCCTTCACTTCTGGGGACTACTGTATGCTGATCTATCTATGTGGAGGCTGAAAAGCAGCGTTCAGAGTTAGGGACATGAGGCCTCAGCACTACAGAGATTGGGAAGCTAGCTTTGTGAGCTAGCATATCATCATTTCAGCCTCCAAGAACTAGAAAATTCTTAAAAAACAAGTCTGTTTTCCAAAATTGACATTCTCAAAATGCTCTAGTTTCTCAAGCCTGATTACTGTCATATTTAGAAGGCTGTATCAATCATAAACTTATATTCAATCACAAACTAACTCAGAATGCCACTTGTCCTTGGAACATCAATTAAAATGCTTTCAAGCAGATGTTAGAAATGCTAGGTTTTAACAGAATGGAAGTATTCACATTTTTCCAAAGCTGCAATAAAATTAATTCAACATAAAGGCAAACAAAACACAACACCAAAATCTTTTCTGAAAAATGAATTTTAGTATACTTAGTCACTGGTTAAAAATTCTTTTTTACTGGGCTATATCAGAAGACTATAACTAGGCAAGTAAAATTTCACTGTTCTAACATTTTTTCCAGTTATCAGAAGTATTCACTTCACCCAGTGTGATAAATACAGTGTGCACAAAATTAAAACTGGTAATTTTAGATGTAATAGTGAAACACTTCAAATCTTTAAGAGCAGGGACCATGTCACCTCTATATCCTAAGTAGGAACCAATATATAAGTGTTCAAGAAATATCTGTGGATAACTGATGACTCCTCATGTTATGTTACACCAAAAACAAATTTTTTCATGTCTGTATTGTAACTTTCAGAAATTACATTTTTAATGATGAAAATTAAGTATCCTATGAAAGGTAATGCATTCTAGTCTTTTTCATTATCTTCTTTATAAAATTAAAATGCAGATTAAGAAGGAAAAATTAATTTTAAAAATGATCTATTCAGGACTTCGAGATTAGGAGAACACTGACAGTCTCCGGATTCCAAAACTACCTCACATTTTCCTATGAAATCAATAAAGAAAATAAATAAAGTAACACAGGACCCACATCTTCTGTATTTGTAGGAAACAAAGAATTAGACTGGCATCTGATTTCTCAAAAACAACAAAGAAAGCAAGGTAAAACGACATACTTAAGAAGTTTAAGAACCGAAGTGCAAAAAATACAAATATACTGAACCAAACTGGCCTTCACGTATCAAGGCAATAGGAAACAACTGTGACTGTATCAGAACTCACACAATACTGTACACATACCCTTCTTGAGAAATATACAGAGCAGGGGTCAGCACACTATGGTCCATGGGTCGAATCCAGTCTAATATCTGTTTTCATAAATAAAATTTCATTACACAACCATACTCAATTATTTGTACGTTATCTATTACTTTTTCATTTTATAATGGCAGTTGTGTAGTTGAAACAAAAGCCATCTGGCTCACACAGTCTAAAATATTACTCTCTGGTCCTTTACAGAAAAACTTTGCCAACTCCATACTAAACTAGAGAATAAGCTTCACTCACTGAAAAAAGACTGGAAAATCTTGGCTAAAGAACCAAGGGCAAGCATGTTGTACAACTGAAGGGCTAATATTAAAACAAGGGTACAATCAATTTCCACTAAGAAAACACATAGTAACCCTAATACCAAAAACGACTTCAAGCTAAAAAGCACTAAACAAGATAAAGATAAAGACCACTTTATAATGTTAAAGGCACATTCTGGTTTTGGAATATAACAAGGGGAACACTTTAAGGAGGCTGTTAGGTATGACATCCAAAATGGTGGAGTAAAGGAACTCTAAAACTCCATCCATTTGCGAAAGTATATAAAACTGGCCAAAACTGTCACAATCAACTTTCTCAGGACTCTAAAAGCTAACAAAAAATTTACAACACCAGAATACTTAAAGAAGAAAGAAGCTGCAGAATTTTGGTAAAAGAGCTCTATTTCCTTACCCACTTACCATCCTCAACTCTGCAGCTCAGAAGCTGCTGTGAAGAAAACAGCACACATTCCTGCTGTAGGCTGTGAATACTAGGGGGAGCAATGTGAACCTTATTCTAAAAAAATTGTAATTGTATGTTTTGATCTGTCTGGGGACTCCCTGAGGGAATGGCTCAAGGGCTTGCCTTTGTTCTGCCCACCTCATAGCTTCCCCAGGACAGAAGCCATTTCCTGGATGGCAATTATTAAAAGTATTTAATGGAGAATGAGTTAGCCACAGTCTTGAGCAATAAGAGGTAACAGCTGGGAGCAAGGGATTATATTCAGGATAACCAACAGACATACAAGAAAACGTGGGAAGACAGAAGCTAGAAATGAGATACCTGAGGGGTATATTAGGGAATCTAGGAGGCCATAAGCATGCTTGGGACTAGACACATGATCTGAAAATACCTGAAATGACTTCAAGCTTTCACCTCACTGACCTTTGGACTCCATGCAAAGAGGAAGAAGTGAAGGCTAAGGCAGATTTGTAAACCTCACTAGCACTGAAGGAGTACCCCAACACAGAGCCAAACTGCAAGGACTGGCGGAGTTTGTTTTGTTTTGGCTCCTAGTATTAAGGAAATCTCTGCCAAAAAACTAGCTATCCACTAAGCTGGTAAAACAGACTTCAATGGCCAAACATGACAAAGAATACAGACTTAACTGAATTTAGGAGTTACTAAACAAACAACAAATACTCACAACAGCAGCAATAACAAATGGGGAGAGCAGGGAGAATTTGATTTCAGTGTTGCTGACTTGTAATATTCAAAACATCAAGATTTCACAAAAAAATTACAAGGCATCAAAACGTACAAGAAAATATGGCCCATTTACAGGAAAAAATGAGAAATTAGTAGAAACTGTCCCTTAGGAAGCTCAGACATCAGCCTTAACAGACACACTTTAAGTCAACTGACTTAAATATGCTCAGAGTTAAAGGAAATAATGGAAAAAGACCCAAAAAAACAAGGAGAATGTTGTCTCAACAAGTACAGAATATTAACAAAAAGTTGGGAATTATAAAAAGGAACTAAATAAAAATTTTGGAGCTAAAAAGTACAATGACTGAAATGAAAATTCAGGATCAGTAGTTAATATGAGCAAGCAGAAGAAAGAATCAACAAACTTGAAGATAAGCCAACTGAGAGTACACACTGAGAAGAAAATAAAAAAGAAAGGAAAGAAATGAATGAACTTAAGGGACCTGTGGGACACTAGCAAGCATACCAACATATGTATGGAAGACTAGTAGAGGAAAGGGGAGAAGAGTATCTGAAGAAATAATGGCCAAAAATTTCCCAGTTTTGATGAAAAACATCTACACATCCACAAATCACAATGAACTTCAAGAAGTTTAGATAAACTAAGAGATCCAGAGTGAGACATATAATCAAAGTGTCAAAAGCCAAAGACAGAGAATCTTGAATGAAGCAAGAGAAGAATTCTTCATGTGCAAGGACTCAGCATGATTAACAACTGATTCTGCATCAACAGCTGTCAACTAATAATTCTATATCCAACATATCTATGTTTTTCAAGTCAAAAAAGTTCTGGAGATTGGTTGTACAACAGTGTGAATGTACTCAACATTACTGAACTATACACTTAAAAATGGATAAGAGGGTAAAGTTTTGTAAATTAAATATATACATGTATTTTACTCATTTAAAAAGAAAATTTTAAAAATCAGGATAAATTAAGGCATTCCAGATAAACAAAAACTGAGGGAGTTGTCACTAGTAGACCTGCCCTACATAAAATGTTATCGGATGTCCTTCAGGTTGAAATAAAGACACTAGACATTCAAAAACAGTCCAAAGCATACAAAGAAATGAAGAAGAACACTGGTAAAGGAAGGTACCTAGGTAAATATAAAAGCCAGTATTATTGTATTTTTAGTTTTAACTGCCTTTTTTCCCCAACATGACTTAAAAGTCCCATTCCACAATGCAGCTATAACCTATGACTACAAAGAAAAAAATTAGAAAACTGAAGAATGAAATTAAAAGACATATTTAATGACTGATTTATATAACTGAGATCTCTCATGCTTTATTCTAAATCATGTATCTCTAAATTTGTATTTCACATGGAACAGATCCAGGATTGAGCTCAAATCCAAGCATACTGGGAAGCAAAGTCTAATAAGAAAGATATCTGAAGTATGTCAGATACAATGTCAGCTCTGTTAAAAATCCTCAGTGTTGCTTACTAAGTTCTCTGAGTCTTGAGTTTCCCATTTGTGAAATGGGGGGGGAACTATGATAATATTTTTAAAATATATATTATAAGAAAAACAGAAAATAGTAGACTTAAAATTCCTTAATTCCTTCCTAAGTAAAGTACACAAATCTAATATATTATCATTATTACTACAATCAGCATGCATAAGCAGTTTCCTTACCTGATGATGTTGAATGTTTCTAATGTTACATGAAAAGTTCTGGTAAAGCTGAAACTTATCAACATCTTTCTCATTTACTTTTTTTGAGGATACCTTTGCCAGAGATGACTGTATACAAATATATCTATTTTGGCACCTGTTCAGATACACAAATATTCAAAAACAAGTAGTCGTTAATATGTGGTTTAGTAAAGAAACACATTATATGGAAATAAGATTAGCAAAAAATGACGTCATTACCAAATGAGATTTTTTTTTAATGATGCTCAACTATAAAAATGTTATACTAAACCATCAAAAGAAGACTCTTTACATATTCATGCTCGCATAGGTTCTCCAGATCTACTTATGTGTCAACCCAATTCTCCCATAAAATACTTTCAAGAGTTAGATTCCACTTGCAGCTATGCAGGAGACCAAAACTATCTATAGGAATCAGATCAATAACTCTGGTCTCAGTATCATCCTTTTCTACCCACTGAGGGAGGCAGTGAGAGCCAACTGCAAGCTAAAAAGAAGGGAAACAGAAGAATTTATCAGGACAACTTTCAAAGAAAATATATAAAACTGAACCAAATTTCAGCAGTATAATTACATTTAAAACACATTTAAAAACCTGAGCAATTCTACTTCAACTCATTCCTGCTAGGGCCACTGAGTAAACAACAAAGTTGTCTCTCTCTCCTTAACAGTTTCTCTTAAGAAACTCTGACAAGTAATAATAGTGAGCTGGTTCATCTCCACCTCTCCTCTCCTCTGCACAGCTCGCACAGCAAGAGATGTGGAGAAAAAAGAAGAGCAGACCTATGGTAAAACCCTGTCTTCTTTTCTCATATGCAGCAGAAAAAAGGAGGACAGAGTACATAAACATAGCATTTTATTTATAAATAGTATTTTTTTTGCAATGAGGCATAAGATCCATAAGCCTAAGTAGGGTCTAGGTCAAAGGTTTTAATCTCTTATAAGTCAGGACTGTGATACCATGGATAAGCTACTCTCCCCATCAGCTGAAATTCATTTTGAGGTCAGCACTTTTATCCATACCTCACTTTAAACATTTTCAAGGTAAGCCAATCACTGGTAAACAGAAATGAAACATAATAAAATTCAGTACACATATCACAATATGTTGAAAAAACAATTCACCCACTCTAAATGAATATGAATCTCTCAATAGCATATATTATGTATGTAATGCAGTGTTTTTTAAACTGTGTTCCTCAAAACCCTCCACTGAGGTACTTCAGTGTAAGGAAGATGAGCAGGCAGAGTTCAAGATCCCTGACCTGAATTCAATTAAAGCAACTTTACTTTCATCTGTTTTAAATATTAGGGTTCTATTGTTTGGGGAAAAAGCTCTGCTACTATAAAGAAGTCTGAAAATAAAGTTTTAATAAACATCGGTGTTAGTACTCAGCATGCGACCCTTAACAGCATGAATCCACAAAGCAGAGAACTCTATGAAAGAGTTACTCACAATTTCCGAATGAAGTCAAGCGTGTCTTTGTCTTTAGCAATCATGTCTGCTAAAATGTGCTGCACCCCTGTTTCAATATCCTGGAGTGTTGAAAGCCCTTTAGGAAAAGGGTAAGAAGGAAAACAAAAGCAAGAACTACAGATTGGTTTTTTAAGTCTATAATTAAGTAACAATATACTTATTCCAGTCAAAATAAAACCTTAAATTGACAAAACCAAGACAGAAAAGTATAGCAGCCACAGCTTCCCTCCACAACAAAAACAAGTCTCCAAAAGCTGTAATACAGGACCTTCAAATACTATATAATATAGCCTTGTGGTGAAAAATGCAGCTTCTGGTCTAATCACTTACCAAATGTGTGACCCAAGGCAAATTACTTGACCTCTCTGTGCCTCAATTTTCCATGAAAATGGGGTAGTAGTAATACCTACTTCATGAAGTATTTACAAAGAGTCAATGTGTTATGGGAAATATATATTACTAGAATCATATCCCAAGGTACACAGTTTCATTCCAGAACAAATATTCTCCTTTACAAGTAATTGTATTAATATCCCTATTTGGCTTATGAGGCGTTTATTCACATTTTCATGACCCATTTGAATTTCTCAAATCCCATGAGCACAAAAGAAGAGCCATTATGCGGTTATTCATCTTCATAACTTGACTTGTCTACCAAATGGTGCATTTCTCTCTAGGTGCTTTCGGTTTGCTAATTTACAGCCATTGAGTCTGATACATTATGGCCCCTATGATATCAACCTATACACTGAGAGAGATCATTTGCCTTGCTTTGTTTCATTTCTTTTGTCTTTACTGTTCTATTGTTCTATTTCCATGAAAGCTTTTTTTTCTTTCATTAAAGCTTGAATTACACAAGCACAGAATATCATAAATATGTTTTTCTGAGAGTAAAGTTTTAACAAGTAATAGGTACAAAAGACAAAAAGAAACAGAGCCACAGACCAGTGGAACAGATTAGAGACTCCAGACATTAAGCCAAACATATATGGTCAATTAATATTTGATAAAGGAGCCATGGACATACAATGGGGAAATGACAGTCTCTTCAACAGATGGTGCTGACAAAACTGGACAGCTACATGTAAGAGAATGAAACTGGACCATTGTCTAACCCCATACACAAAAGTAAACTTGAAATGGGTCAAAGACCTGAATGTAAGTCATGAAACCATAAAACACTTAGAAAAAAACATAGGCAAAAATCTCGTAGACATAAACATGAGTGACCTCTTCTTGAACATATCTCCCCGGGCAAGGAAAACAAAAGCAAAAATGAACAAGTGGGACTATATTAAGGTGAAAAGCTTCTGTGCAGCAAAAGACACCATCAATAGAACAAAAAGGTACCCTACGGTATGGGAGAATATATTTGTAAATGACAGATCCGATAAAGGCTTGACATCCAAACTATATAAAGAGCTCACCCACCTCAACAAACAAAAAACAAAAAACACCCACCCAATTAAAAAATGGGCAGAGGAACTGAATAGACAGTTCTCCAAAAAAGAAATTCAGATGGC